TTCAACAAATAGCCCTCGTAAGGTCGACTATCACTCCCAATGACCAGCTGTACTAGATCTGGGACAGCCAAACCTATAAGTCTGGTATCAAAGAGTGGAGTGCTCATACAGGACATCCTTGGTGTCTCAAGTCTAAGGACTAGATATACCACTAGAACTACGAAATTTCTATCTGACAATAAGGCATCATCAACCATCTAGCATTCCGTAAGCGGATCAATCAGTGAACTCATTCTCCAATGAGCACCTATGAGACCAGTTGGTCCATTATATAGACGGGTATACAGCATACCAATCTATCCGGTTATCACGATATCCCTCTTGAGTGACCTATGACCGGGATTATTTAGGATATGTGTTTAAAGGTAAATCGATCTCATTTTCGTGATCTCATCACGATCCGATTCCCATTGCACAAATTCAAGGATATCACAATATATATATGCAATAGTTATAAAGTGATATATGTCAAAATATAATAAGTAAAAAGATTCTTTATCAAGTCACACGTGCCATTACTCATGTGATTGGCTTGTTGGGCACCTATGACTAGTAGTATCGTGACTCGACGATGATGACCCACTACTGAAATGCTAATACAGTGGGTGAACTTACTAGTAGAATGTGCTACTTGGGAGAACTATGACGATTTGAAGATCAACTTCCCAAAATTCATGAATCGTCAGTCTCGAGGACAAGGCTAATTTGAAGAGGGCGGGTGGGTCTGTTAGAACTCTAGCTAGGAGAGTCCTAATTGAGAGGGGCATTCATATTAACCTACCTAGCCGACCCCTATTAAAGATGTGAAGAGGCCGGCTATGGTTAGGAGGTTACTTCTTAGAGAAGCATTAGGAGTTGTAAAGGAATAGAAGTCTTGAGTATGAGTCATATTATGAGTTGTTCTTAGAGAAGTATTAGGAGTTGTAAAGGAATATGAGTCTTGAGTATGAGTCCTATTAGGAGTTAGGGTTTAGAAGCCCTATAAATAGCCATGTATTCATCCTTTTTTAATAAGCAATAGATGAATCTTTTCTGCAGCCTTTGAGTAGCAATTTGGAAGAAGGAACCCTTATAAAATTACAACGAGGCCGATTCTCTAAAGAAATCAACCCAAAGCTTAGAATTTACAAGAGTTAACATCTGACACCTAGTGGAACAATAGTTTATGGACTTATAGGTGTTCTTTTGTCTTCTAAATTTCTTATTTTTTCTTCCTTTTTTTTTCTCTTTTTTACACTCCAAGTGTTTGCTAAATTATTTGTAAGCTATCCTCTTTCGTGAAACGTCAAGACTTTGTCTACCACACATTTTTTTGAAGCTAATCAACTTTCTTTTAGTAGGTCTTTCAGGACCTATATAAGGTTACTCTATATTGACCTTTTGTAGACGGGTAACATAAGGGTGCCTTATAACTTAAGCAATTCTAACTATATTTGTAATACTATGATTGGTAACTCAAAGTCACTTATCGTTATCTCAACATCATATGATTGACACCTCAGTATCAATATAGTCAATATGTAACCAAAACCTCATCATGAGGCTAAATTAATTAAACATTATTGTATCTCAGATTTAACATGCCACAATCACCATTAAATCTGTGAGAAGAATGCTACTCTCCGCATATCGATTGTGGGAGTAATGATACTAAGAGCCCACTATAAAAAAAAAAAAAAGACTCCCCACATACGTTTAGACTTTCCCCAATACAACTTAAACAACTTAAAGCATAAGCTGAACTATCTGACCCTAAAGCTAACTTAAACATCAAAATGACATTATCTAGATGCTCTCGATGTAACTTTACAAGGTTCAATACTACTTGAATCGATAAGTACAAAGTCAACTGAAATCAACATGAGAGATTTCGATTGGTTCCGAATCTAACATCTAACTCCGATAACTAAATCTTGATTTAATTAATTTATAGTTATTTCATCTCACGTGCCAAATATTTACCACAGTTTAAGAAAAAATTTCTTCTTAATATCGTGTGGAGTTGACATTATCCAAAGTGCGGCCACATGGTCGAATGCACAGAGGTCACTCGTCGTCTTTGTCTCGTAGATCAAAGTCTGGGGACATAATGCGCTTTGTCAGACTCCAGTGGACATGACAGCAGTAGTGATGTGGACACATTTGCTCATGACTTAGATCATGAAACCAGTCATATGGCTTGAATGCACCAACAAGTTTGAAAGATTCCACGAGTTATTTGGAAGGCATGCAAAGGAGCTAAGGAAGTACCACCATCACCTGCCAATACAGCTGTAAGAATAGTTCAGGAGAAAAAGCTTCTGATGCCTTCTCTGTGGAGTGCAGTCCAAAAGACACGGCATGTTTATCTTGTTAAGATTATGTTAAGTATTTATCACAGTAAATCACCTGCTCAATGATTAGGTGAAGCTGGTTCACAGCTTGGCCTTTTTCACTGACCTGTGGTTGAAGAGACGAGAGTAAGGAAGAAGAGCTGCATCCTTTGATGCAAAGGCTCCTCTTTTCTGTAGGCTGGTGGCTTTATCCATCCCCACCATGAGAGAGCGTTTGGAGGAGACAGAAAGGCTGTTAAAGGACATCAGAATGAGAAGGGTGACAGTGTGTGGAGCCCTTCCATTATTTAAGGGCTTTGAATACAGATGGGTCTCGTAGCAGCAGATGGATCACTGGAGCTAAGAGCAAACCAAGGGGAGACTGACCTCACATGGGAAGGCCACCATGGCCTCTCTTGCTTCCCTGATGTCTTCATCCACCCAGAAAGTGACATGAGCACTTGAAGGTGCCATTGAGGAGGGCAGTGAACGACCCTCTTTCTCTCTTTCTCTCTCTCTCCTTCGTCATCTGCCATTAACGAGTGAGAGGGCACGCTATCCTTTGCTGCTTGCTCATCACTGTCAGGACCACCGGGATTGGCCGCATCGCTGCCACTCTCAGTAGGAAACGCTGGAGGAGGTTCTTATTCAAGTGCTTCAGAGCTGGTTTCTTGCTCCTGACACCAGCATTCCAAACGTTTTTGGTCAATGTCCATCAATTGCTACAAAGATCATAGTGTTGTTCGATCTTAAGAATAGATTGGTCCTCTGAACAATTATCTTAAGCTTAAATAGGTATTTGTGCAATGCTTGTTCTTTTTTTTTTTTTACCTTACATCATGCACTTGTTTTCAAAAGAGTTTGAGTATATGTATTTGGATTTTTTTTTTTCTTGACAGCTTAAGTTTGTGGTAATTGTGATAATCCTATTAAAATATTTGTAATTGAATTATTCTAGATGTACATATTTGCTATATAATAATAATAATTATTTTTAATCATATGTTTCATACAAATTTGACCTGAGAGAGAGAGAGGAGCCAAAGTCATCCATTTGGTGTGGGAGCATGTACCTACCCTGCACCACTACTCTACTCCTTTCTGATAAGAGATTGACATGATTGATAGATAGGATCATGTGGTGGGCCATTCTCCCATATCACTTTTTTTTTTATTTTCTTTCTAACTAAAAATTTTACTAAGTAAATACAGGACACAATTCCTCCCTTTAGACTGAATTTACCTAAGAAGATCGAAAGGATTATTCCCCTCTAGAAAAAACCAATATACCTATTAGTTCTAGCATAAATAATCAATCAATTTTTAAATATTTAAATTTCATCTTTATCTAGAAATTGATTTATAAAGATATAATAAATAAATATATATTGGATAACCAATTGAGATTTAAAGAAATTAATGAGTGAATTATCTCATTGACTCAGGTTGTAATTAATGATCCGAGAGCTGATATTAGCCTCGCATGTCACTTAGCTTTTCTCCTTTCGTATATTAGATTAATGGCCAGCCGACGCGGAGGGTATTACAAATTTTCATTTTATAGGGGTGCGAGTGTAATTTCCTATCCGTACCTCTATGAATTTAAGCTATAGTTCAGGGGTATTTGTGCCAAATTCTCGACCTTCTTCTTGGGCTCCTCTTCGCCAATTACCTAAGTTCCTACCTCTCTCTCTAGCCGGCGTGGCGGTGGTGAAGATGGTGGAGCCCAATCGCTGCCCCTCGCCTCGCTCCCGTTGGGGTCTCTGTTGTTGGTTCTTAATGGGTTTTGTCCGCTAACGATCTTGGAGAGACAGAAAAGAAGCCTTCTTTTCCTCTAAATCCGCTGCTTGGAAGCCGAACCCAATAAGAAGAGTCGACTTCATCATCTCGTTCTCCAGATCTGAGGTCGCCGGACAACCGAACGCCCAAGGCTGGAGTGATCTGAAGGTCTCTTCTTTTCGTTATGTAATGCGTCGGGTTTGGCGTGATTCTGTGTGGCGCTCTCTTCTGGGATCCCTCCCGCTCCGGTGCGGACGCCTGATGAAAAGACGTGCGTTTTAAGATTGGTGCGGAGATCGCGTGGTCGTTAGCTGGTTTATTTTCTTCGATTTCGTGCTTGAAAGGGTGTTGGATTGTGATTCTGCGACCTTTTTCTTCGGCCGGGCGGTTGAGAGCTGAATTTGTCCAATAAGTGGCAGATCTTTTCCGAGTTTAGTTTCTGCCTTTGGGTTCGTCTCACCTACTTATCGCCCATCTTAATTGAAATGATTGAAGAAGTCAAAGCGTGATTTGTTTGCACCTTGTTGGCAATTAAGTTTCTAAGCTTATTCTAGATGAGAAAGTTCGACTTTTGTTGGAGTCTTCCATGATTACTGTAGTTGCTGCTGTTTTGTGACTCTTTTTCTAGTAAATGACGTGATTTATGTGAATTCTTGTGATTCAGGGGAGGAAAAATTGCTTCTTTTGCTTGTTGGATACAAATTGATTTAGGATAGATGTCACGAACTCGGAGGCGAGCCTGGATGAGATGAGGGATGTTAGCGGCCTTGATGAACATACTGAAGGCCTGCTGGCAACCGGCGGTGGGTGGACATGTCCACACAGGCTCCGATGTTGTAGGCCGGCAGGATGGTCTTCTATGGTACAAGGATAGTGGCCAGCACATAAACGGGGAGTTCTCCATGGCTGTCATCCAAGCAAACAGCTTGCTTGAGGACCAGAGCCAGATCGAATCTGGACCACTGAGCTTGCTTGATTCAGAGCCTTATGGTACCTTTGTCGGTGTATATGATGGTCATGGAGGCCCTGAAACCTCCTGTTATATCAATAATCATCTTTTTCAGCATCTTAAGCGTAAGTGTTTAATTTGGAATGACCATGCTTAGGACTTGCAACTTCCATTAACTTATGTTGTTTACAAACTTAATGGTTTGTACGACAAGTTCTCGAAGATAGAAATCTATTTTGTTCATTTGATAAATCAATTATCTTGATATTTTTGAGCTAACTAGCTCAATACAATTTGACTTGGATGGCGCTCGTAGTTTCGGAAAAAAATTTCAGCAGTATAACATTAGTGGACATGAGAACCTGTGTGATATAACATTAGTTTGTCCTATGCAACTTTGTGAAGCTTGTATGTTCTCCATACAGTGCCTTGGTCACCATTAGATATATCTGTTATATCGCTGAAGTCTAGGATATTAATTTATTAGTTGACCGTGAGAAAAAGTTATGTAAACACCAAACTTATATTTTTCTTCTTTCACTTGATATAAAACATAACACACATCACATCTCAAACCAAAGCATTTCTGCTCACTGAAAGAATATATAAGATTAAATTGTTCTTTTTGCAGGATTTGCAGCTGAACAGCAGTCCATGTCAGCTGAAGTAATACGGAAGGCATACCAAGCTACTGAAGAAGGTTTTCTCTCTCTGGTTACCAAGCAATGGCCTATAAAGCCTCAGATTGCAGCTGTAGGCTCATGCTGTCTTGTTGGAGTAATCAGTGGTGGTTTGATATATACAGCTAATCTCGGGGACTCCCGTGTTGTTCTTGGGAAACTTGTTAAAGCAACTGGCAAAGTTTTGGCTGTCCAGTTATCAGCAGAACACAATGCTGGAATTGAATCTGTGAGACAAGAGTTGCAGTCAATGCACCCAGAAGATAAACAAGTTGTTGTTTTGAAGCATAATGTTTGGAGGGTGAAGGGTCTAATCCAGGTGCTTAAAGCTTAAAACTTATCTATTGGTTCATTTACAAAAGAATGATAAACCAAGTTTCATAATACTTGGCAATTTATGCTTCTCCATATTTTCCATATATTCTTGTAAGTATATAAAAGGTCACCTTTCTTATGTTCTATTGGTGCTTCTAGCTTGCAAACAGCAAAGTACCATGCATTTTATTCATTCTTCTTTATACTTCTTCCATCATTTTCAGTCAATCTCCTGTCCAGTCACTATATTATACCAGTGGGTGTACTGGTTCTGCTTTCATAACCAACTAAAGTTTTGCTAATCTGATTGTTCACTTGCATTTAAATTGAGATGGCCTTTTGTAAATGTATAATTAAGTGGATGACATAGAGTGGTAGGTTTGGCAGTAGCAGAGGAAGCAGTGGTCGAACCATTGGTTGTATCATTATTTAATTGTACAAGTGCAGGATTTTTTAGTAGTGACACTGCTCTGAAATGAACATTTTACATTCTGTACTAAAGATGCATTTACATTGTAGGTTTGCTTTTTATTTCACCTTAATCTATTCGACAATATTTGGACTGAAGATTTCAGGCACCATTTGAGTTAAAAACTTGCATATTCGGCAATGTTACACCAGTCATGAATTGCAACAACTACAAGAAAGCTTTTTCTCTGAAAACCTTTTTTCAGTGGATCTGATTGTTATGAAGTCAAATGTACTTGGGGACAAATAAAGAGCATCTGCATATACTTCATTTAGATAGTAGCTTTTCTCCTTCTTGATGATTTTATCTCAGTCAAATAAAGAGCATCCAAGTTGATACATTGCTAATTCAAGAGGGTTTAATTTTTTATTAAGTGAGAAATCAAAAGATGTAAATCACGATTTAGCCAGCATAGAGGAAATAGGAAATGACTTGGTAGTCCAGTCTTAATTGAGGATGTGGCTCTCAAATGGGAACTGGCAGATGGGATAAATTTTTCATATTTTTATTTTTTTACATCTTTTTTGTATGGTAAAATAAGACTTTTTGAGTACCTCAATGCCCTATACAAATTTTTCTTTTTAATTCTGTAAATAACACTTTGTTGACTTGTTTGTGTTAGATGCATATGCCATCACATGGTTTTTGATATTTTAACTATTCGGTCCACATGACCTACTCAGGACTCGGGCCCTTTTTGGTTAGGTTGGTTTAACCGCAACTAACTAGCTACTTCATTCTTTGATGTTCTTATCCTGGATTTTCTGTCAATTTCTTTTTTACTTTTTGTTCTTTCTCTCAATTAGTTTGGTGGACTTGTTGCTCATGTCTTTGAGGACAAATCTTTTGTGTGATGATAAGTTTCTTTTTTGTTTCTTATGACCTAGGTAGCAATGATTCCAGTCATGGAAATGATATTTCGATTTGCAGGGGTAGGCCTGAGGACATTGACCTAGCCAAACAACATTGTTTTTCTTTTTTTCCCCCTCTAATGATCTACATATAATGATTTTCCTGATACTAACAATACTTATTTTTTGAGTTCATTATGCACCAGACTTGGTTTATTTATGGGAAAAGGAACTTTTCAGCTTGTCCTTGTCAAGTATTCAATCTGAACCTTGCTTGTTCTTGTTTGGTTCTTTGAAAGTACCTGACATATTCTTCCATCAAACCTTCGTAGTCTACAATGGTAACATACAAATGCAGGTAGTGTCATTAATTGGTACTATCTCTTTCATATGTACTGTAGTCATCATAAATAAGAATACTAATGACAATGTATGGCCTTTTAACAAGATATGTGAGATTTTCTATTGCTTTTGGATTTGCAATATGCTAAATGATGAATCTGAAAGTGCTCTAGCTTGCAGGATCTGGGTTTCTAGTAGCCTTAGTGATGAACTGTGATGTTACTCTTTTTTTGGCATTACTTTAGACAGTTTTTCTACCAAAACTTCACTTAATCAAACACACCCCACTGCTTATATCAGCTATATTAAGTAAAATTTCCAGCCATCTCCTGTTTTCCACTGATTTCATGCCACATCTTACAGGTTCATGTGCAATACACTGTTTGATATCTAGATTTAGCTTTTCTTTTTTCTCTATGTTGGCTTTTATTCAGTGAGTACAGATATCTGCTACAGATCACTAGGTCGATTGGCGATGTATACCTAAAGAAGGCAGAATTTAACCGGGAGCCACTGTATGCAAAGTTTCGTCTTCGTGAGCCTTTCAAAAAGCCTATACTCAGTGCGGAACCATCGATTTCTGTGCAACCAATGCAACCACAGGATCTGTTTCTTATATTTGCATCTGATGGGCTCTGGGAGCATCTTAGCAACCAAGAAGCTGTGGATATTGTTCATAACAATCCTCACAGTGTACGTGTTTGATCTCATAGTAATTTCCAATTTCCTTATAAAGACATTTTTATCTAGTCATCTCATTCTGCATTAGTATGATATACTGCGTTGCTTCTTTTTTAATATCATTTGCCACAAGCCGCAGTCTTGCAAACCTGCTTGTCTTTGATGTGTGGCTCATCAGACCACAATTTGCTGCTCTTCTGCAGGGGATTGCTCGTCGGTTGATCAAAGCTGCACTCCGAGAAGCAGCAAAGAAGCGGGAGATGAGATACTCCGATCTCAACAAGATCGATCGTGGGGTTCGCCGCCACTTCCATGACGACATAACGGTCATCGTAGTCTTCCTCAATGCTGACCTTGTAAGCGGGGCCAGCTCACTCAAGGGCCCCACTCTGTCGATGAGAGGGGGTGGGATCAACTTGCCTGCCCACTCTCTTGCCCCTTGTACAACACCCACAGGGCCCTGTGCCACCTGATGGAGCCACCCTACTTCTTGTTGCTGCTGAGGTTGTTGCCTCATCTTCAACAACACCTCCAATGTCATCGTAGCGACCGAGAGAAGAGCAGCGCCAGTCTTATCTCAAAACGTCTCCTGGTTCAAATGGTTCCTTTTTGTAGTATCTTCAAGAGAATGATGACTCCGGGTTGGGAAATACCGGGAGAAACTGGCCGTATGTACCAAGTAAAAACTGAGGCCAAAACGTTGTCGATATCTCATCGTCCTATCAAATGCTCATTTACCTTGGTTGTGTTCCTGGTAAACATCCGAGAAAAATTCACTGGGATGAAGAACAAAAGATTGGACTATCAATAACTATTTTTATAGATGACAAATGAGGATTACTCGAAATCTGCAGCACAAACTAAGCAAAAATTACTATTGAGAACCTTTTTTCAGTTCAGGTAGTTTCTCCATGAATCCTGTGTCTCACGCAATTTAATGTAGTCATTTTCCTACTAGCACAGTGATCCTCAATTTAGTCACATGGTAAGCGGGGCAAAAGGTTGAATTGACTTATAAAGGATTTGGTAAGACTATTATAATTAGCTTGAACTTTAGCATTGAGAGTTATTGATTCAAGCTCAGTAAGTTATATTCTATTACGTAGGATCCGACAAATGTCCTGCAACGCCATCACTACTAGCTCGCCTTTTATCTACTTCAATACGCCTTGAAAGATCTCACTCAATATTGTTGGTAAGCTTTGGACCCACGTAACCTCACTAGCTCTCCTTTACCTCCTTCAGTAAGTCTGGAAAGATCTCACTCAATATTGTTGGTAAGCTTTGGCCCCATGTAACCTCTGCAACTAGTAACAGAACAATTGCCAGCAACACGCCACAGAAAGGCTAAAACAAGAGGGAGGGAGAAAGAAAACAACAGCAGTAACATCCGATGGACTAATGGCAAGAATCAACCAAATTGACTCCTAAGTTTGAGAGAGGTTTCTCATGGTATTAAGATCAAGTAGGAAAACGTACACGGAAACCAAACAGTTTGCATCATGCAAAATAGAATTGTCGATCTGAAGAGCAACCACAGAGTTATACTAACGTTAAAGGAAGAAATTACAACCTTCGATAGTCTATAATGTTTCCACCAGCTTCTTCCATCTTGTCCTCAAGTTCATCACACACCTACACATCAAATCAAGGTCAGTAAGCTCATTCATCATGTGGACCATGGAATGATTGAACAATTGAACCACGACTACAAAGAGGTTCCATGTTGGTCCAACTTCTTACACGATGTAGCATGTTTTGAAGTATCATTTCTAACTCAGAAGTTCACCTCCATCTTAGAAGAAATAAAGATAAAAACTCCTTAGTCACTCCTCTAAAGTCAATGGGGATATTGAGATCTACTTGCAAGGCTTCTTGCATCTATTGTAATGTCATCTCTGTAGTAAGATTTGGGCAAACGAGAGCATTTCTGTTAATGACTGTGGATGGATCAGACCAAGTAGAAATGAAGCTATTCCAGAAAAGGCAGACGAGTCACCTGGGAAATGATCCAGAGTAATAAGGCCTCTTCACATCTTCCCTTGTAAACATGTCATGGCCACAGATTTCACAGTGGTAACATCCATGAGCTACAAAGAGACATATATAATATGAATAATCAAGTTAGTTTGCAAACAGAAACTTCTGACTGATATTGTCATACAAAAATCAAATGCTGAAGGAAACATATTAAACACCAAGATCTGTGGAATTTTATTCGGCCTAGTAGTTTGCAAAGGATGCAGATATTTTCTTGAGTATAGCATTCAGACTTTCAACCCACCCCAGCAAGTTCTAAATTAATACTAGACACCTGTCTAAGAATATCTATGGAATCAGTACCATCCATGTAAATATCCTGATAGCTAGAACAACAAGAAAAGAACCATTATGAGCAACAATATGACAAACCCTTAATTTCCTTTTTCTATTTTTATATCAAATAAAGCACTGGAAATTGATCCCATATTTGTTAAGCCATGGATACCACGACATCCTACCCTCTGCCATCCAAGCACTAGTCTTGACTCCAACACCATGATCTGGATAAAATAAAAACTAACTGATTAATACTTCCAACATGATTTGGTAAGCCTTGTAATATGAATTATCACCTTTGTTCTCGTGGTCTCATCTAATAACTGATGTGCAAATGTTAAAAATTCAAAACGAGCAGCGCATACTGAGGATAATTGAAAACTCAAGGGAAAAATAGAGCATCCTGTAATAATTTCAAGTGGAAATAAAATGCTACAAACTAGTGGAAACCACCTAAGAATATAAGCAAAGAACTAAAGTAAAGAAGGAAAAAGGATGTAGCAAGTAACAGCTTCTTGGATAGTATGATGGTACCTTACATTGAAGGATAACCAAAAGCCAGATCTCCAGGCAAAAAACTAACTGGATGACTAAACATAGATCAGGACTCATCAGCAATTCCTTGGCATACTTTTTTGGAGGAGGTAAATGCTTTAATTGTTGATGTTGAATGACTTACATTGAGAATAAAAACAGACGGAATAGCTAACCACTTCAAGAAGAGTTTCCGCAATACAAAATAATACTAATAGAGAGATTCATGGCCATTAAATTCGACAAAAAGAAAAATAACAAGAACCCAGAAAGATAGTGCCACATGTTAAATGGTCAAGATCAACCAAGGATAATTTTGATTGTATGTTGGGCAATTATAGCAGCTAGAGACATTGCAATCATTAAGAAAAATATGATGTATATGGAAAATGGAAAAGGCACATGACCATCCAGAATAGAAGGCACAAAGCAGATTGATTATACAGGCAATTAAGCCATCCAAATAGAGAAATAGTTTCTTTTTATGAATAAAGAATGAAATAAAACACGAAGAAACACTGCCCTTCTTGCAAATAGATGCCCGGAAGGAAAGATTGCAGAGAAAAATTTGCAAGTAATTAATAATAAAAATCAGGTTTCTATGAGACTCATGTTTGTCTAAGACTATATGACAAATCCTGGTGTCTTGCAAACAGACATCTTTTCTACCTATAACAGCAATACAACACTTGGATACCATGTGCAACAATCATGTTCCTCCAAGCTAAGACATGTGGTTCTATGCTAAAAAAATGAGTAGCTAATAGAACTCATCTGGATAGAACTAGCATCATCTCTCCATAACCAATCACTTGAAGAAATATAGGATTGCAACCAAAGCTACATGGATCTGATCCCCACTTCACCAATTACTTGTTTAATTTCATACTTCAGCCAACTCGAACTCATATGAGCACTAATATCTTAAAAATATCCCAAAGCCACACTTAAATAACAAACAGAACTCAACTTACAGAAAGAGTGCAAACTGATAATAAACCCAATGTAGAATCTGAAGTAGAGCAATGCATATATCTATCGGTGTCCAAACATTAGCAGCAGTTGACAGGGACTGGAATGTTCGAGCACAGCATTCTGGCATTAGAAATACCATACTTTCCTTTTCCAAATAGAACATCCTAACTAGTGCTATGGTGGGTTGCAAGTTGCAACCACAACAATACTGGAAAACTTTTTCTTTTGAACCAACCAATGTCGAGTTCACTTATTACATATAAGCAACACAATTAGGATTTAAAAAATATTGAAAACTGAGAGAAATATTTCAACACAGCAGAAATTATTTGCAAAGCATATGACTTAGTGGTCATATACAAAATTGAACACCTGAACATAATAAAACCAAGGGAAGATGAGGGAAAAGAAAAAAAAGGGAAGGAATCTAAAATGAAGAATACAACACATATTGGATGTTAGATTACCCCTACCTACTCTTTATGTAGTCCAGATATGGGCAGAGTCAAGACGGAGCTACAATAATCCAAACTGATTTTTTTTTTACTACTCACATTTAGCTAACAACTCTATCACTTTTTGCAGCTCTTAAAATTTAATAATAGTAAATCAAGAAGGAGCTATAATAACCCAAACTGATTCTTTTTTTATTGCTCACACTTAGCTAACAACCCTATCACATTTTGTAGCTCTTAAAATTTAATAATGGTAAATAACAAAAACATGACATGCAAAACAAGAGGTAGCAGAGAACTACATCCTACCTGAAAAGACATAGTAACTCCAGAAGAAAACAAAGATCACAGGAATTATGAACTGAAGACTTACATGCACAACAACATAAGCAAAGAATCATCCCACAACAATATTGCTTGTATAACCAGAAAATAAAATTTAACTAAATGAGCAGTTGTGATGCACAAAGTATCACCTACACAACCTAGAGCTCCTCAAAAGCCCTAGTGAAGTTTGATGAACTCTTCCTACTTTTTTTTCCTTCTTGATATCAGATGTACATTTACATAATATCACAAGATCTGTAAGGGTTCAACCAATATCTATTAACAAAAACTAAGTGCCATCAGGTACTACAAAATACAGTGCAGGTATTACATCTACAAACAAGTCAATCTCTAGATATCGGTACACACATCAATTCACTTATTATTTGTCGTGCCAAAGAGACACATGAATATTTACAGATCACTTCTATACCGTCCAACTCTTTTACCTCATAAGAAGGGAAAGATGTCCTGATCATCATCTGCATCAATGTGATTGAACGGCATGTCTCCTTTGTAGCGGAAACTAGGGTTCACGTAACATTTCATCTCGTGGAACAGATTCAGATTGTCCACCAATTTATGGAACACATTGCAGCCGCAACACTGATGCAACCCAGGACCACTTTTAGAGTAAAATCAATAAAAACAGAAAAATAAAAAGTAGTGCTTTTGAGTTCCAATCATATGAAGCACCTGAACAAACACGGTGCCGTCCGTATACGCATGAGGATTGATGGCACGAGTGGTCCGCTGGCCACAGATGTTGCAGGTAAAGGCCACGCGCATTCGACGTCGCGGAGATCGGGTGTAGAGGGACCAGGGGAACGTGAGAACCGTCCGATCAGCGGAATCGGAGTCGGCGGGGATCGGAGGGCCTTCCATTCCCGATCCCGTCGTCCACCCTCTTCCAGCTGCCGCGCTTAAAACCAAGCCCATAGCCTTATCCTAAGGACGAATCACGAAGCGTCCATAAAAATAGATTAACCATCTTTTCCGATCCCTATATAAGACCAATAAAGAGAGGAATCGGGTAATTTACCTTGGGAAGCGGGGAAATGGGAGCGCGATTGCCGAGGAAAGGAACGAGACTCGTGCTCTCGGAGTCCGAATTGAGATCAGCATCATCTCCCCAATCTAAAGATCAGAAGAAAAGAGAACTTTAGGTCACAAATCGAATCAAATACGACGGATAATAACGACGAAAATAGAAACGACTCTTGGAGGCGATCGGGAGGAGCGATTGGCGTCTACGGGCGCTTCTCTTGCGAGAGAAGAAGGAGAAGGAAGACGGCGACGAGGCGATCGCAGGCGATGCCGCGACGGACTCCATCGACAGGAGACAGGAGCGAGTGACGAGGCCAAACGCCGCCGGGTCGACCGCTTAGTGGTCAAAATGGCGGTCCGAGAAAGGAGGATACGACAAATAGCCACGCAAGTCACGATCCAGACACGCCTCGCGGACATGGCCCACAGCTAGGGCAATTGACATCGGTCCCATCTCTCACGCCACTGGATGTTCGCCACGAACGGAAAACGGGTAGATCGTTATACGTCAAGCTAAAACCGATCTTTTTCTTGGATGAGGGTAACCTTCAGTTTCCTTCTACGTCTTACCCCGATAGAGGTCGGGCTACTGTGAGGTTAAAAGATGCACCACGTCGGATGGTAACGTTGGGGTTTTTAACACTTGGGATGTTCTGTTTAGTTTGATACAGTGCATGACATGACCGAGTTCGCTTCTCAATCTGGATTGCGGGTTCGCTTCCCGTTTCTTTAGGATGTTTTCATATAATTATATATTATCTCATTTATATATAATTTTATTTTAGGCTAATTATATATTATCTCTATTTTAATTAATATTAATTATATATTATCTCATATAATTAATTATTTTTAATATTTTGGTCTCAATATAATTAATTAATTAGAAAAGTGAAACATATAAATCTATTTACCCAAGCATCATCGGTTTAAATATGAAAATAAAAGATAAAAAAATAATTTTAATATTTCAATTAGTAATGACGGACGGTTTTAATAATGATGAATGTAGAGCGATGACGAAGCACTATGCGGCTTTATTATAGAGCGATATTCGCAGCATAGAGTCATTAGAGTTGATCTCGATATCATTTAGACCCGACGGTTAGCTCCCTCGCCTACTCTCCAAAATCATAAGTAGTGCCTCTACCTTGCTCTCCCCCCTCGCGCTCACCCTACTATCATCGTCAACTAGAGCCTTCACAATCGTCTCCGCCCGATCCACCTCCTTGATGTCCCCCACTGTCTTGTCTCCATTATTCTTTACTAGGTTCAGTAGTACAACTGTAGCGTTTTTCCTCGCCCTCCCGCTCCCCCCAACCACTAGATCTATCAGAACGCTGACATCGTCCACCCTTCGAAACACCTCCATGCTCTCATCGTATCCTACCACTTGAGCAATCACCATCATCGCATCCTCCACCACCCCCCCCCATGCTTGTCCTTCACCACTTGCGTGAAGAGATGTGGCATGACATCCAGCTCTATTAGGATCGAGTCGGCACTAAGAGGAGAGGTGAATTAGTGCAGCAAATAAAAATGACGTCGGTTTGAAAATATTTCATTCGATAAAAGCTCGTATTGGAAATATGTTTAACTTGAAAGTATTCGTAAGTGTAATGAGAAAGTAAAGCAAGTAAGGCAGTTTATAGTAAAGGTAAATGATAAAAAATAAATGTAAATCGAATTTTATAATGGTTCAATCGTCGTAACCTATATTCACTCCCGATGCCTCTTCCTTCGATGCCACCAGCATCCACTAACGATCTTCCTTTAATGGGCGAAGATCAACTACCCTTTTACACTCTTTCTCCTTTTCACGAGTTTAGGAGACAACCCTTACAAGCCTCTCTTTTTTAGACCTCACTTCTCTCTTTAGACAAACTTCTAAATACTAGGATACTAGGAAGAAGTGATCCTAAATCCTAAGAGAGTTTCCTAATTTTTTTCTCAAGTATTTTTCCCCCTTTTTCAACTCAATTTCGTGCTTAATTCTTGCTACTCCATGCAAGAATAGCTGGGGTATTTATAGACCTCAAATAGCTTCAAAATTAGAGTAAAAAAATATCTTATCCCGAGTATCCCGAGTCCTGGTAGTACCATCGCCTGTGTTGGGCGGTACCATCGATTGCAGCACTGACACTGGGTGGTACCACCGCTTGAGAGATTGTGTCTAGGTAGTACCATCGCCCAAATTGGCGGTACCACCGCCTAAACTAGCGGTACCACCGCTTGAAAGTCTCGGAGACTGAGTTTGGATAGTACCATCACTTGACACGGTCTCGGAGTTTGTGCCACTAACGATTCCACCTGTTGGGTCACTGCTTGGGTCTTTCACTTGGCCCAACACAACCCAAACTTGGGCCCAATTAACCCCTAATTGAGTTGGCTCAATTCCAACCCAATTATGCCTAAAACTTATTTTGATCTAGACAATTATTACAAAGCTAAATCAAATGTTGTCTGGCATGTCATTGGTTCATCGATGCCGCATCTGATTCTTTAGCGCATTGTTCTTTCTTACAACCTATTACTCCTTTAGTCAATTGACCTTCGCAACTTCGATTTCCTTGGCACAATTTTTACTCTTCTTAGTCCGATGCCTAAACCCATGGCCCGATGCCTTCTATTGATACGTCAACCAATCCTTCGACTCGACGTCCAATCTTCTGACATGTTCCACTCTGACCCAACATGATTCTTCCTACTTTAATTATCTTTCCTAATCGAAGTTTCCTACGTTACTCAAAATATATATCAGATTATAAACACTATCAATTGGTTTCATCATCAAAATTAGAGATTCAACAATCTCCCCCTTTTTGATGATGACAATTGATGATGGAGTTTAAACTAAACTCCCCCTATCAATATGTTATATTGATAGAAATCTTGAATTCAAAAATCCAAGTAACATGTCATAAAATCATGCATAATCAAAATTTCAATATATTATTCCATGCATGATTATCATTATACCTTCTCCCCTTTGTCATCAACAAAAAGGAGATAGGCATAATCACCAAATCATCATTAATTTTAAAGATGTGCAAGATTATAAATTTTTCAAGTTTGCACTTTTGTTTCTTAAGATAGGCAAGATAATACTTTTTGCTTCTCTTGAGATTGTAAGCTAGCAATTCTTGGTGATATTCAAGATAGCAAGTTCTTTCTTCTCTCTTTTGAGAAGTGCAAGCTAGCAATTTTGCTTCCTAGAAAGTTTTTTTTTTCTTTACAATTTGTAAGCTAGTAAATTTAGTAAGTTCTACATCATTTTAGAACATGCAAGCTAACAAATTTTATTATCCTTTTGTCATTGTCAAATAGAAGGAAAGAATATAATATTAATTTCTAAATCATGACAAAGATAAAGTATCATTCTTAATTCAATATGTTTATGCATTATTATAGTTTCAAATTAAAACATGTATAATTTTAAAACCTTACATTTCATCTTTACTTCATGCATGATACCAAATATAAATCAATCATCACTATGGGCATATATACTCAAGCATTCATAATACATCATTTTGGACATAACATTCATGATGCTAAGACATTAAAACTTTTAAGCATTTATCACTTCATGCATTAAATCAACATTTTGTTCATGATACCAAACATTCATCATTTCTCCCATGCATGATACTAAAGCATTCATGGTACCAAACATTAAATCAATATTTTTAAGCATTTATCACTTCATAATTGTTGATACCAAACATTATCATTTATTTTCTCCCCTTTTGTCATAGGTAAAAAGAAAAATCATTCAACAATGTAAGTGTTTGAAAGTACGTTGTTGGAAACATTAAATCAACATTTTTAAGCATTTATCACTTCATGATTGTTGGTACCAAACATTTATCAATTATTTTCTCCCCCTTTGTCATAGGCAAAAAGAAAAATCATTCAACAATGCAAGTATTTGAAAGCATGTTAAGTAAGTTTTATACTAATTTATCTAAGCTAGCAACACTTTCTCTCTTAACGTTTAAGCTTGCAAGTTTTGCCTTTCTTAGTAATATGCTTTTCTTGAGATGTGCACACTATTAATTCTTTCTCCCCTTTTGTCATAGGCAAAAAGAGGGGAATAGCATAAAGGTGTAAATATTCAAGTCATCACATAGAAAATATCAAGAAAATTTTGATGATGAGATATACTTCATGAATACAATGAATTATACAAAGAAAAATCATATCATAAAAGATGAGATCATGTGAATACCAAAAGATATGATTCATTTTGACAAATCTTCACTTAAATAATTTAAAAAAAATCTTAGGAGATCAAATAGTAAAAGATCTTCAAAAGAAATTTCAAGTCATGAATTTCAAAAAAGATATTTTCTTTAGTAAATTACAAAAAGAAACAAAGGAGAAAAATATTTCATAAGAAATCTTATGATTCATATAGAAAATCTCCTCTTTAGTAAATGGTAAGAAGAAATATAGAAGAATAAAAAAGAAATCTTGATTCACATAAAATAGAAGATCAAAAGAAAGTTCATGATTCGATTAGAAAAATCTCATTTAGATTCAAATCATCAAATCATCCAAAAAAAATTTATAGTCCAAGAGATTCATACAAATAGATTCATCAATCTCTTTTCAACTCGATAAGATAAGGATTGAGAAGTTTTCAAGAAAAATATATTCCATTTTTATTTCATGCAAGTATATCTTTATCTTTTATGTCAAATAAAAACATGTATCATCGTTTAAAAGTAAAATTCATCACGGCAAAGATTAATAGTATAATAAAAAATTATTATTATTTCAAATTCTCATGCATAGTATAAAATCATTAAGCATGGTATCAAAACTCTGAATATTTTCATTACGTCTTACATCATCAAACATGATTTCATTAAACATAAATTATTTTCAATCAAAATCATTTTGCTTGTTGTAGTAATGCATTTTTGTTTTAAATGAATCTAACTTTTCATACTTAGTGTTAGGAGTTGACATGCAATTATCATGCTTAATTTTTTATTTTTTTTAAAACACTAGAAAGAGAACCATGATATTATATTTTTATAATTTTTTTTACAAACTAATTTAAAAATAACTTATGAAAAGCATCAAGTAATTTCATAGTAATGTAAAGGAGTTTCATTTGAGTTATTTACCTTATTGTCATGAGTCATCAAAGCGAAGTTCACCACTTCGTCTTCATCGGTTTGCTCCTCATCTTCAGATGCACTCATTTCGTCCGAAGTCATCTTAAGTACTTTCTTATTCTTTGACAACTTTTTCTTTTTAAGTTTATTTTTATTCTTAGTTTTATGTTTTATAAATTTTATAAATTTACTTATGACGAGTTCTATGTCATCATCACTGTTGTAAGT